AAGCCATGCTTTAATCAACGTCAGGACGTGTTTTACGACTTCGGATGAGATAAGAGTCGGGCATTTAAAGCGCAATTTTTGTTTAGAATATAATATTTTCCATTTTTCTCCACGATATGGACTGACTGATACAAGGAATTTTTAAATCGAAAAAATATCATCGTATCATTTAGATAGAGGACAAAAAAAATTTGGATGCACACTCCGTTTTACCTTGGCAATAATGTTTCATTGTTCGCTGTCGCAATTCATTTATGGTGTTGTATCATCCTTAATATTCTAGTTTTGCGAAAAACATCTGTAACTTTTGTTTTCAGCATATCAAGACGATTATACGCACTTTGAAACGAATCAAAATGTTTTACCGGAATCATCATAATTCTGGAAAACTAAAGCATGAAGCAAGCCATGCTTTAATCAACATCAGGACGTGTTTTACGACTTCGGATGAGAAAAGAGTCGAGCCTTTCAAGCGCGATTTTTTTGTTTGGAACATAATATTTTCCATTTTTCTCCACGATATATGGACTGACTGATACAAGGAATTTTCAAATCGAAAAAATATCATCGTATCTTTTAGATAGAGGACAAAAAAAATTTGGATGCAAGCTCCATTTTACCTTGGCAATAATGTTTCATTGTTCGCTGTCCCATTTCATTTATGGTGTTGTATCATCCTAAATACTCCAGTTTTGCGAAAAACATCTCTAACTTTTGTTTTCAGCATATCAAAGACGATTATACGCACTTTGAAACGCCTCAGAAAGTTTTACCGGAACCATCATATGTCACGAAAACCAAGGCATGAAGCAAGCCATGCTTTACACGGGACGAAAAGTTTGATTTGCATAAAATTTGCACCAGAGGCAAATTTGGTGCAAATTTCGTATTTGGAATTTGCAACCATTGCGTATTCATCTTTGCAACCCAATAAATTGGCAACACGTTTGCCACAAATTTGCCAGGGTGCAAATTTATCTCAATATTTGCAAGACGTTTGCGTATAGGTGCCAATTTCGAACAAATTCATCAGGCTCTCGAATAAATTCGTACATTCGCTAAAATCTGTTTTTATGCCTTAGAATACAAAAATCAGTATACACAACCTTTAAAAAAATTGTAAACACGGCTGTAAATAAAATGTTCATGTGTTACTAGCATATATATTTTCAACAAATTGGCAACAACTTGGCACACAAATTTGCATATAAATAATACTGTAGCAAATATAATACCAAATCCGCGTCAACTTTGCTGTATAGCGCAAATTTATTGCAATTTTGTTTAGTTAAACTTTCGAACGATTCCTAAATTACATTTCATTCGACGTCCGAACTGATTCTTCAAATCACAATTAATATATATATATATATATATATATATATATATATATATATATATATATATAAAATATATAATATATATATATATATATATATATATATATATATAAATATATATATATATATATATGTATATATATATATATATATATTATATATATATATATATATATATATATATATATATATATATATATACAGGGTGTATCAAAAAAAATGTCCCCAATGTAAAAATTCCGTTTTTCAGGATATTTTGCAGAATTTGGCAAATTTTCGTGTTCCTATAGATAGTTAAGACTTGTCTGGTATACCTAGGCCAAGTTTGGTTTTTCTGTAACAAAATTTTGTTACCGGGGGGGTTGTTTCTTTCCACTGATATTGAGAGGGCTTGCGCGCGAAAATGTGAAGCTGAAATTGAGATATTATTTAGCTGTCTAAAAGTAGGAATGCTTTTTAATAAACTGTCAAAGTTTCAGGAAAAATAATGCATACTGGGAGCAACGCGCGACGCCTAAAGGTGACAAATATTTCATTGCGCGCAGTGGATTAAATGCATCGTTGATTTTAGCGTGACCGATCTCATACAAGATGGGCAAATGAATAAATTAAAGCGAGAAACTGAACACAAAAACAAAGCGGTGTATTCGTGATGTTAATCCTCAGCATGTCCACCATTTCATTCTAAGCAAACTGCGGCTTGTCTGTGCATACTAAACACTGAACAGCGAACCATTTGTCTGTCCATTCGCCTAGATTTGCCATTGGTAGCGTATAGGCAATTTGCAAGAAAGAATTTCGAACGAAATGGATAATTTTTGGCAGGACAGACAAATATGGTTCGCCGTTCAGTGTTTACCATGCTCAGACGAGCCGCAGTTTGCTTAGAAAGAAATGGTGGAAATGTTGAGGATTAACATCAAGAATAAAAATCTTGTTATTAAATCGTTTCGTCTTCTTGTTCAGTTTCTCGCTTTAATTTATTCATTTGCCCAGCCTTGCATGAGATCGGTCACGCTAAAATCAACGATGCATTTAATCCACTGCGCGCAATGAAATATTTGTCACTTTTAGAGGTCGCGCGTTGCTCCCAGTTTGCATTATTTTTCCTGAAACTTTGACAGTTTATTAAAAGGCTTTCCTACTTTTAGACAGCTAAATAATATCTCAATTTCAGCTTCACATTTTTGCGCGCAAGCCCTCTCAATATCAGTGGAAAGGAACCACCCCCCCGGTAACATAATTTTGTTAATGAAAAACCAAACTTGGCCTAGGTATACCAGATAAGTCTTAACTATCTCTAGGAACACAAAAAATTACCAAATTCTTCAAAATATCCTGAAAAACGGAAATTTTACATTTGGGACATTTTTTTTGATACACCCTGTATATATATATATATATATATATATATATAATATATATATATATATATATATAATATATAATAAATAATATATATATATATAATTATATATATATATATATATATATTTATATATATATACACCCATTTGCAAAAACGTTGGCCGCAGATAGATAGATAGATAGATAGATAGATAGATAGATACTCGAGGTCTAATTAGAATTGCATATCATTACATTAGCTTGAGATTTCTATAATATTACACAACATATTCAATTCTAATTAGATTTCGAGTATCTATCTATATATCTATCTGCGGCCAACGTTTTTGCAAATGGGTGTATAAATATATATATATATATATATATATATATATATATATATATATTTATATATATATAAATATATATAAATATATATATATATATATCCAAATAATTGACTGTAACAAAAAGATCACAGAACTTGACAATGGTTGGAGAGCGCTCAATACCATTACTGGCAGAGCGATAATATATATTTATTGAAAGACTAGCTTAGCTACTCGGAGTTTCACGCTATAAAGCGATCATCAGGCTAATGGCAGGTCTGGTTGCTATTCTCTATATTTACATCGTGATATAAGGTGTCGAATTACGTGTCTACATTTCGTAAAGAGTTCAGAGCGTTTACGTATGGAAGCTGAAGGAAGCTAAGAAAGATTTTTCGATTTCATGGTGCCTACTGAAAACTGTCCCAGCCTACAAAGCCGGTTCAAGAAGATGCAACCTCTGCCTTGAGGAGAAACTCCATATCATGAAAGACAAAACTAGAACACTGCTGAACAAACGCTCTGAACTCTTTACGAAATGTAGACACGTAATTCGAAACCTTATATCACGATGTAAATATAGAGAATAGCAACCAGACCTGCCATTAGCCTGATGATCGCTTTATAGCGTGAAACTCCGAGTAGCTAAGCTAGTCTTTCAATAAATATATATATATATATATATATATATATATATATATATAAATATATAATATATATATAATATATATATTATAATATATATATATATATATATATATATATATATATACACAAATTTGGATCTGTGCGTAGTAAATCAGAGTGCTCAATACCAATACAATAGTAGAGCAAATAAACAAAGAAATCAACAGATTACAATCTTAAAATTTTATTTCGCTACACTGTGTTTCACGTACTTCTACCGTGTACGATCATCAGGCGATTACTAACACGCAATTAAGATGTAACGGTTATGCACACGCGTTTCTGATTGTTAACGCAAGCGCTTAAATGTACCAGTTTGCGCGCGCTTAACATAACAGGCCTTAAAGCCAAATCTATGTCGGCATCTACTGAATATTTCAGATCTTTTGTTCAACGACCCTTCTTTATTAGATAACATGATAAGCCTTTTTTCCTCAATACACAGCGGGCAAACATTCATTCCGGGGCTCGCCGAGGGAACTTGCACTGTTAATTTGAAGGTGTCAATTTAGCACCAAAAAAGGTGTTGAATCAATATGGCAAAAATAACACCTGTTGAGGTGCTATTTTAACACCATGATCCGGGTGCTAAATTAACTCCAATCTCTGGTGTTAAATTAACCCCCATTCTGGTGTCAGTATAACACCTTTGGGTGTTTAATTAGCACTACATTTGGTGTTACTTTTTACTTACTGCAATTTAATGTGCAGTACATCAGTATAATCATATCTAAATCAAAATTAATGACACATATACAAGGAAACAAAAAATCAATATATTAAATTTGGACACAATTGCATATTTACAATTACTCCAGCAGGACTATTTACAAAAATAGCCAGACAAATATTTACAATTTTCAACAAACAATGTCAAGTTCTTTTATAAATTTATCCACAGAAACTCACTTCCCAGCATATGTTCTTCCATGGCCATTTTTTTATTATTTGTATTTTGTCATCTGTATCTGGAGTCATCAACCTAAGATAAATTTATCAATAATCATTAAAAAAGTAAAATCAGCCCACAAGGTTTCCTAATATGAGGGAGAGACTCTCTTTCAGTAATTAGACCTAAAGCAACCACTAGCTGTGCTCTGAATGTCTTCTTTGAAAAACAAATTGTTTATCAATTGCTATTGTTAAAATCTAGTTAGGTTACCAAAACTATAATCGGTACACTAAGCATTGGATAAAGACAGTCAAAATAGTAGATTGTGGGGCAATAAACTACAGGTGACATTGTAATTTTGTCCTTGGGAAAATTATAGTATATTAATTGCATCATTTACCTGATTCTCTGTGCGGCCAATCTTGTTTGTTGTTTCTATCTGGTTCGAAAGAACCAATACAAACTTCTTGGCACAGTATTTGGCATTCTTGACAACTCTTGATAGATTGAAATTTGCCAACCATACCATGGACTAATAGTTCTTGCACATTTTACTGCCAAATTCTGCCTTTACCTGCAACAAAATAATAGAATGTGTTCAGTTACAAACCTTACTTGCAAAACAAAAGAAAATGATTTTACTAAATTATGGAAACATACTTTGTTATTTGACTAAAATATAAATGTGAATTTGAAAAATGACAAGCTAAAATGGGACTCTCAGGTAACCTGTAGGAAATTATATTTCTTACAGTAATAATTTTATCAAAAGTCATACACAGGCAATTATTTTAAACAAATAACTTGCTCTCTGAGATCAAATTTATCAAAATAGAGCAAGGATTATCGTTAATATATCAAAATAGAGCACGGACAATTGTTGATATAGGATAAAATATCGCTAAATTATGTCAATAATATGAGACAAGCGAAGACGCATCTAAAATTACGGTAAACTGGTAAAGTAAATATGAATAGATACCTATTATTGCAATGATATTTTCTTTGACCACAACTTGCTGAAGAGATCGCAGTAAAGTAGAATACGTCATTTGGCTTCTCTAGAATAAAAAAACATTTGTTTGTTCAGCGATTTGGCCGTTTGACTTTGAGCGAACATGGATACTGTATGTCTGTATTTGATCAAATTCAAACACTTACCAAGATATTTCTGAGATAATACCACAACCAATTGCCTTGAAATTTCCTTATGGGAGCCCGTTGTTGTTTAGGATATTTAGAAGTACCAAAATAGTCGAGTAAATACGCTCAAAACGTCTTTTTAACACAGCAGCATAAACATCTCGATGAATATACGATCAAAAGAGTTTTCAAACGACGCGCTCAAAAAATTTGCATACAAGCGCTGACACGTGTCATATTTCGTTCCTTATATGGACATACATATGCCTATACGCGATTGCGAAATATTTACTTTGTAGCAATCATTACATAGCACAAAATAACTAGTCGTTAAATTAGTCGTTTGATAAAATAAAAAGGACAATGGATCACCGATCACTATATCGATGTATCGGGGGTTTTTTTATATAGAAACGTATCTGACCTGACGTATTCATAGCAACAAGCTGAATTTCCATGTCGTCTTTTAGATGAATAGTTGTGCGAAAAGCACGGGAATTTTTTGTTCCAAAATCATCTCATTCGAAAATACAAGTTTATTTTTCAATAACTTAAATAAAATCAAACGTGCTCATTCCCGGCCCATCCGCCATTTGGTGTTATTTTGACACCCCATACTTAACTCCCTATATGGCGTTATTTTAACACTTTCGTCGGCAAAAGAGGTGTTATTTTGGCACCTTGCAATGGTGCTGGTAATATGGTGTCATATTGGCACTTTTAGCGCCAATCCCAGATTTGGTGGTGTTAAATTAGCACCGAAGTTGGTGCCAAAATAGCACTTTGTATTTAACACCACTGCATGGTGTTGATTTGGCACCTACGGTGGTGCTATTTTAACACTTTAAAATTAACAGTGTGTTTCATTATCGACCATTTTATTTGGAATGGTTCGTGTTGCGCTTTAAGCTTCCAAATATATTTCGATAGTTCCGTTTCACCGGAGTAACGTTCATGTTTGAATGATTTCAAATGGTTGCTGTGTCTTAGTTTGAAGCCGCCTGCTGTCATACCAATGTAGTGCTTGATCTCTTTCCCATTGTTAGATCGGACTTCCGCTTTGTATACGATGCTTTTCGTTAGGCAGTTGCCGTTTAATGGGCAATCTTCTTTAACTCGACAGTTACATGGTTTCGAGGTAGGTTGAGAGCTAGTATTTTGTTGCTTTAAAATTCTATGGTTGCTGCTTGATATTGACGGTTCCGTTTGAAAATTTTATGAAGAGGGCACGAGTGGAGAAATGCATCATTGACTCCACCAAATTTGGTTGATCGGTACTATTGTAGTGGAGAAATGCGTCATGCTGTGTTGCCCGATAGAGCTAGGAGTCTAACTCTATTCGTCGACCCGTACGATTTGTCAAATTGTACGAGTCGATTCGACCCGTACAAGTGAAGAAAGGCATCGTGCTGGACAGCACGCACAACTCAACAAATAGAAATACATATTCAATTGCCTCGTTCTTTAAAAACCACACCAACCCAGAATCCACATGCAAAATATTTCAATTAGCAACGCACAACTCAGCAAATATAAATACATATTGATTTGCCTCGTTCTTTAAAAACCAAATATTATTAAACAAAGGAAATATTGTCTTCAGTCAGTTAGCAATGCACAACTCAGCAAATATAAATACATGCATAATAATTTGCCTCGTTCTTTTAAAACCACATCGGCAAGTATAAATACACAGTTAGTTATAAAGCCACTATATTCCTCTAGAAAAAATTCGCCTACTGTAGAACGGGCTTTACTCTACACAAAAGCAAAGTTCCCGTAAGGATGCCCTCATACACAGTTTAATGATATACAGTTATGGAGCTCGCGGCGGAACCCTTTGATGTTGCTGTCCCCTTGCCTACGCCATTCCACGCGCTACGCAAATTGCTCTGGCAAGTGTATTTTGACTCTAAAGTAAGGGAAAAAGGTGTTCGAAAGACGAAAAATGTTAATATTTTAAAGCTGGCTCTATCAACCTCCATTTTTGCGCCTAAATGTTAAAAACAAACGGTAAATGGTTGTGTTTTTGTAAAAAATATATCGAATGATTTTCTTTATAAATATCAAGTTGATTGCCAACATCATCGCCGATTATAAATTAGGCAGTTATTTTTCCATCCAGAAAACATCTGAGCTGATCTTAAGGTGGCTCGCTACAGTTTTAAGAATATTGAAAACTAATTATTTAGATTGAAATTTTTGGCAGGAAATTTTTTGCTAAACGAAATGAAATTTTCCAGATATATTAACCAACATTCTAACAGTCGAAAATTGTCTTTGAGTATCACGTCATTACCGTTGTTATGGTAACAATGGCGATTCAATATGGCTGTCATTTTACCTATCCACGCATTTTACTCGAAAACAAGTTCGGTTACCCCAATTTTTTATTTTATAAAAAGTTTTCTTACAAAAAAATGGGAAATTTGAGCAACTTTAAAAAAATTCTATAGAGCCAAAAAATTTCTATAACGAAAAATCACGTTTTTTAATTTTTAATAATTTTGGCTCTATAGAATTTTTTTTAACTGGTTCAAATTTTCCATTTTTTTGTAAGAAAACTTTTTATAAAATAAAAAATTGGGGTAACCGAACTTGTTTTCGAGTGTGTGAATAGGTAAAATGTCGGCCATGTTGAATCGCCATTGTTAACATAACAACGATAATGATGTCATGCTTATGGGCAATTTCTGACTGTTAGAATGTTGGTTAATATATCTGGGAAATTTCTTTTTCTTAGCAAGAAATCTCGTGCTAAAATTTTGAATCAAAACCAAAAGTTTTCAATATTTTAAAAAATTGTAGGGAGCCACCTTAAAACAAGCATGATTGATGTGTTATTTCTAAAATTCAAACACACGAAAAAATTTCTTTGAAAATAATTTATTTTGCCATAAAACTAGCAAAAACTACATGTTTTTTATTCGAATCTTGAACTTGAATTCAAAGGATTTACAATAAACAAATGCAAATTTTACCTATATATATATATATACAATACTTTTTACATGAGTATAAATCCAACTTCACACACTGACACAAATGGTAAATGTGCTAACAGATATTAATTTCAGTTCATACATGATTGTAATATTCATGAAGGACATGCAGATCAATTTCCAATCTAATCTATGCAATGCTGTGTGGCTTCTATGAGAAGATTGAAAGCTATTTTCCAAATTTTGGATGTGAATATAATACACATAGGAGACATAATAGGGTTCACAAATATCAGTAAACTACGTATGCGTTGTAAAACTTTTTTAATAGCCATGTAACTTGCTATCTTGTTGAACAGTAGATATGTCGTCCGCTCAAAAGTTAACTGACTTTGAGAAGATTGTTTCGCCATCTAGAAAAAAATACGACTGCATGCTGGCGAAATATAGTCAGATAGACCTACATTTATTAGATGAAATACCAAACTTTGAATATTTACCTGGCAGTTCTAGAAGCTTCGTGTGAAAATCGCACTCCTCGTAGTTGTATTTCCCTTTTTTTCCCATTTGAATTCGTATTATCGCAGTCATTTTTAATCCAAAAGGAGCAATGTCGGATGGATAAATAAAATTTGTCAAAAAAACGAAGAGCAAAAAACCCTTGGCTTTAAAATTGCATTTTTTTCTGCTAAAAAATCGAATTTTCCTTATTAAAAAGTGCAAAAACACTTGCCAGAGCCTAGCGCGTGCGCATTAAAAACAGGGGGACAAGATTTGCCGCGAGTTCCACCTCTGTGTAGTACTCTGTGCCTCATATTCCCATCTATGGATTTGCCACGTCACGTTTACGCCACTTTGACGCCATTTTCACGTCGTCTTTGCCTTCGCGTCGTCTTCGCTAAACATCTGTAAGAAAACAGGGACACCGGAGAAGTGAGGACGGTCGCCCCTTTGCTTTTGCCAGGAATGGGAAGGGGGCAAATATGGCCTTCGAATTTAACGGATTGCATTGTGAATTTTTAGTGCGATTATTTTACGGATTTGCTTCGAAAACTGTTAAAAGTGTAGTCAACAAGGTTCAAGAACCACACAACGGTATACCCAGATACCATATCATCCAACAAAGGAGTTGGATTATATGTCGTAATGGGGCGTAATCGCAAGAAGCTTTTGCAAATAGCATGCGCACTCACTGCATGCGCAGCAGACGTTCTATATAAAGGCGAATACCAATAAATATTTAATCAACAAATGATGCTGTTCCTACACAAACAGCTACAGGTACACAAACACGTACAGTATACAGTGTACAGTGTACAAAATCAATGAAAGAGTTAAAACATTTTTCAAGTCAAACTTTGCTAATAACTCTCAGAATATATGATGTAAATGCAGACTTCCTGTAAGAGCTAAGTGTACGTCTAATTCTAATGCGGCGCACTTCTGTGCTTGACACATTATTTGCATAATAATCGTGCACACGACCTAAAAAGCGAGATGCTAGTGGAATGTGAGCTCATATTGTGACTTATGTATAAAAATACGTAGTGTTTATAATTGTAATAAAACTAGGTTAATCGTTCCACAACACTTTAGAATGATTGTTGCTTAATTTTACGTTCAATTATAACTATCGGAGTACGCAGACTGGAACGAATTTAGACGATTTGTGAAGATGAAATAAACTGCGTTCCGGTTTGAGCGTAAACAATTGACCGTTTATCAACCGTCACAGAAGAATTCGCCTTTCCAAAGGCATTACAAATAAAACAGTTTCGTCATTAACTTTATCATAACCCGCGATAAAGTTTCGTGTGATGCGTTGAACAGGTATAAACGACGCAGGTCCAAAACTCTCGAACAAGTTTGCGCACCAAATCTCCGGCGTTAATCCATCATTACCATAATGGAATCGTTCCGGATGATACTGAAACCAGCGGACGCACGCAAAACAAAACGACTGCACCTTATTATTATGCGAAATCGACTGCCGAATAAAGCAATCGATGATACCCGGTCTTTCGTCCATATTTTCCATATCAACATCCCCATGAAATCTTCCGGCCCACTTTGCTAGGATGTAAGCAAAGCGATTGAGACGGGAAAATCTAGACCCGTATCGTTCCCCTGCAAACTCAATTGATGCGTACTTGTCATAAAGATGAGGTATATCGGTGATTGATATGTCTGGAAGAAAGATCTTGTAAACATCACTCAAGTACTCATGCTCATCAGCATCCAAATGTTCAATCACGTGCGGTGGACCTAGAGAATATCCATCCAGAGAAAACCATAATTCGTTATGGACATCAATTCTGGTGTTACACATTCGTAGAATGTCGATTGCGAGCTTGCTATCGATTACGCCGCTTTTTGATTGATGGC